TGTAGTTGTTTTATGTCTCTGTAGTTGTTTTATGTCTCTATAGTTGTTTTATGTCTCTGTAGTTGTTTTATGTCTCTGTGGCCTCGTACTTATATTGCTTCTCTCTGTAGTAGTTAAATATGTGTTTGTGGTCATTTTGTGTCTTTGTGGTTGTACTGTAACTGTAAATATGAATCCACTTGGAGCTCTGGCTGAGGTGACCCTAACCCCCCCGTGGACCCTGTTCAGTAATCCTTCCCGGTCTGTTGAGTGTTGTTGGGAAAAATGTCTCTAAATGCGAACTCCTGCTCCTGGCTGGTTTCTGGAAAGCATGCCTGAGTGAAAGGGTGAGGTTTGTAAGGAGAGCTGTGGTTTGACTCACTGCAGAGGAATGTGAGTAAAGCTTAAAGGAGACACACGTTTAACCAAACATAAAATTCCTCTGAATCTGACGTCATCGCTGCATGCAGTGGCTGTCGTCAGATTCAGAGGAACTCATTTCATCTATGTATGGAAGTGATGTAACTGTAAATGTTGTGAATCATCATTTATATTAACTGCATTTTCACAAAAACATTATTAACATTGTGATGATGGGACATTTTTTTAAGGGGGTCAGCATCAAACAAACACGTCTTCTTAAATGTGGAGAAAAAGGTTTGTAGGTCAGGTAATCTCTGCAGAACTACTTCACTATAACACTGTTAGTCCAACAGTTTACCTTCATTAATACAGGGCAGAGATTTGCATATTGCAAAATAATTATAATAGTTTACAGTCCATGCGGAGCTTTTTGCAACTCTTTTGCAAAAAATCTGCCAGCGGACTAGAAATCTTAAAACTAGCCACTGAAAGACTGTAAAGGACCTTGAAACTAGAAAAAAAAAAGACAAAAATCTTCTTTTGATTGCTGAATTTAAGACTTTGTACAATAATTTAAGATTAAGTAGCTAAGCAAAATTTCTTCAACCAGCAGAATAAAAATAAGTGACTTTGTCTTAACTGAAGGCTCCAGAAACATCTGCTTTATTTCCAACACTGGGACCAGACAACTTTCTGTTAAACTGAGAAGTTGTGTGAGTGCTCTTATTCTGAAAAAAAGGACAATAATGTCCTCTGCTGGGATATTATGCAACCATTGTTGTTTCTGGTTAAATCCAGCTCAATATCAGCTGGAAGATCTCAGTAAGACTCAGTTACTTTTCTAATACAACACATGCTTGACAAGATTATGTTTCTGTTTAGACAGAAGATAAGACTCAAACAAGGCCTCTGTGTAGTTGCTATATATGAGGAATTTATCTGTTATATGTGACTTTTCCTTCTGCTATCTTATGCTTTTAGAAAGATATCCACAAAATGCCAAAACAAAATCAAAAATGGTTATAGCTCAATCTCAGAGTCTGGTCTGACGGGTCCAACAGGTGCTGCTGCAGGCGATTACTTGATGAGGAGCAGTGGCACAAACTGCACCGTGGGGTTGTTGAACATTTGGTAGCTCATCAGTGCAGACAGCCCCAGGTCCAACAGCTGGAGGGGAAACAGGCCCAGTTCATCTTCAGAACCACACTGATGTTTGCTAGCATGCTTGCTAATCCTCTTCCCCAGACTCAGAGTAGAGGATGGATAATTCAGAAGGTCTATAAAGACATTAAACTCACCACCAGGACGGACAGAGCGGAGAACATTCCCAGTATGACATCAAATTGTCTTGTAACAGAGTCCATGATGAGGGGGAAGCAGTCCTGGTGAGAGAGAAGTCAATGTTATTACTCAATGAACAACGGTTTTTATATTCTCCAAGGTCTCCCAGATATGAAATGGATTCTTGTATAGAAATATTTTACTGCAAACTGCTTTAATTGACAGATTTTGTGCCAAATGAAGCCCAATAGGAGACGTTACACCTGAACTAGTAATTTGAGCTCTGGTTGATTCCTCTGATGGTCTGATGGGAGTGGGCAGGAGGTTCCTGTATGTGTCCGAATGTTGATTCATTGAGGAAATACAGCAGTACAAACACAGAAGTACAATACAATATGTGGAAATATTTAATTTTAGGATCTGTGAAGAAATCCTTGACGGGAACTTTGACTGGGATTGTCCCAGACAC